AAACTATTTTAACAGAGAAGTTTGAAGCACGCCCTGGGCCCCCGCACGATCCCGCTGCGCTTTCGTGGAAACTTTCATGCACCAGCCTCAACATTTCTCAACTAGCGGTGCACCGCAGTTGCCCAGATTCTTCGAACGTATACGTCGTGCTTGCCATGCTCCTTTGGGTGTATTGGGAGAAAACACGCACTATTGTGCCTATTGTCCTGAAAACCTCTTGACCAGCATAACCCCGCTCACTTGCCCGCACAGATAAGGCCACATGTTACATATCTGTTCTTTAGGTCTCATATCGGACATTTATCTATTCTTATCACGCATTAACTATTGTCCATTATTTGTATAAGCCCTGCCAATGCATGGCATGCTTCCAGATGTTCATTTGCTTGCATTTTCCTTGCTATTAACCAATTGACAAGCATCTAGTCAGTGCCTCTGCACCTTCTTTAGAAGTGTGTGCAACACCCAATAGTTTTTCTCCTGTGCTTGTCTGTATGTACGTATTGTGGTTACTGGAATAAAATTGCCATAAACACGCATAAGTTGGGCATGTTCCTAATAATTTTATCAACTCCCAAAAAAGCAATTGTTGCCGCCTAAGAAGTCATTGCACTTAAAGGCGGAGGGCATTGAACACTGAAATCTTGTAAGGCTACGTATACACTTTTACAATCATGGCTGCGGGCTGTGAGTTATGTGCTTCTTAGCCTTGATATATGTTGATAATAAAGGTTTGATTGCCCTTGAAAATCCACTTGAATTTTACTTTTTTTTCTTAGAATTCGTTTGCAGCAGAAAAGCTCCCGCGGAAAAAAGACGGGCTTCCGAGGCTGTGTGGGTAAGTTGTTCACATGAAAGGTTTTTCTTGAATATGCACTAGCTATGTACACACAAACACTACATATATCCTTTGAAGGGCCTGTCAATGTCCATGTTGGCTGTCCTAGAGGAATGTCGAGCGAACGTACAAATTTGTTACCTTTGTACGTTACCTCTGTATCTGATGTACATACAGTGTACATTCACGGACATCTGATGGACGTCCGGAATAACCGAAATGTACGTCCTGTCGTATGCCTACTGAATATCCATGATTAACTTGGCCTGGCAATAAAGATCAAACATTTTTATAACAGGAGCAAAAGCAAGGCCAGCCTTGACTTGTTCAAAGCCACGTTGCGCGTCTTCCGACCAGCAGAATTGTTGTCCCTTTCTGAGCATAGTGCGGAGAAGCTTAACAATATACACTTAGTGGTGAAAAAATTTGGCGTAATACCCTGAAAGCCAAGGAAGGACTGAAGGGTTTTCAGGCATGTAGAAGAAGGAGCATTGAGAATTGTGTGAACTTTGCTTTCCATGGGCAATATACCCTCTGCAGAAATTTTACGCCCCAGGAATGTCAATTCCTTTACTGAAAAAGACATTTGTGATTCAACTTCATGCCACTCTGCGCAATACAACTAAATCATGCTTTGACTTTGAGCTTCCGCACACAAGTATGTCATCTAAGTAGAAACAACATTTGGTGCATAAGACTGAGGCGCGAAAAACATAACGTGAAGCAGGAAAAGGAGGAGAGAAGACAGAACAGCGCCAACTACCAACTGTTTAATGACCGTCTAGGAAACGCACTGGAAAGAAGACAATACCGCGCATGCGTGCACAGCCAACAAACATTGCACAGCGTCATGAACAAGGCACTAAGTTATCCAAAAAATGCATTTCTGTTGTGTACAACACAATAGATGTATCACTGATATAATTGGGCCCTTTCTTTTTGATAATATAGGCTTCCAAGAGCTCTCTAGCTGTTTGTTTTTTGTTCCTACCAAGAATCACCGTTTTTTCAAACAATGGCACACATCCGCAGGCTTTACAATGTGCTGGAAGATGCGCATGATTACTTTTGCCGAAACTATTGGCATGCACCCTCAGTCTGTCATTAATGCAATGCCCTGTTTGACCGATATAGAACTTGCCGCAATCTAGGGGAGTCCCATATACCACGCCTTGTGCGCAGCGCCTAAAAAGTCTTGTGTGCTGCCTCTGGCAGCCCCTTTGTTCATCGCATGTGATATTGCCATGTTCCAATATGCACGCACAATTGAGCAAGTTTGTTGGGAGCTGAAAAAACGACCGGAACACCATAACAGGAAGCCACCTTCTTGAGGCTATGGCTCACACGGTGTATATACGGGACCACCTCAGGCTTAACCCGCTCTCTCTCCTTCAGGCACGCATTTGCATTAGACACTCTGCCTTTCACCCTCTGCAGCAAGGATTCCACCAGGGAACTAACTACGGACTGAGGGTAGCCGGCCTTGGAAAGACTTTGAAGTTGACACATAAAGCTAGCTTGCATAACATGCTCACACGATCTGCGTAGTGCCAACTCTAAGCAAAGTAGAGCGATTCCGCGTTTCAGTCTTTGAATGCGCTGAATCGTAAAGTAAGAACTCCTTCTTACTCCGAGGGAGATACGCACAGCATACGTGACCAGCCGAAATTGTCAGGTCAAGGTCCAAAAACTGCAAGGAGCTATCTTTCGAAAGTTCATTAGTGAACGTGAGCCCCTTAGCATTTGCTCTAAAAACATCTAAAACCTGCTCAACCATCACAGGAAAAGAAAAAGGGCATCTATTGTCAATAACAACTAAAAAATCATCTAAATATCTAAATACCTTAAGAACATATGGATGAAATTAAGTAAAACACTTTGTAGTGCGTGGTCAAAGGATGATAAAAAGACGTCACATAAAATCGGTGCTACCCGTGACCCAATGCAAATGCCCTTCCTCTGTAAAAACATGCCATGATCAAAAGAAACGAAAGTGTGATTGAGATATGCTTCTAAAAGGGTAACAAAATTAGCGGACGACATCTCTGTTTTAGAAACAAAGGTGGCTTCGCCACTATCTTCTATACGCTGCTTAACTGCCCGAAGTAGCTCCGGATGCGGAACCGAGAAATGTCACTTACATCTACGGAAAAAAGGTTGCCTATTTCATGGTTTGTGGGACTGTGGGAGCGCCGTCTTGAACGCGGCTAACCTCCTGTACAGACGCCCCGCCGCGGTGGTCTAGTGGCTAAGGTACTCGTCTGCTGACCCGCAGGTCGCGGGTTCGAATCCCGGCTGCGGCGGCTGCATTTCTGATGGAGGCGGAAATGTTGTAGGCTCGTGTGCTCAGATTTGGGTGCACGTTAAAGAACCCCAGGTGGTCGAAATTTCCGGAGCCCTCCACTACGGCGTCTCTCATAATCAAGGTGGTTTTGGGACGTTAAACCCCACATATCAATCAAACCTCCTGTACAGACGATTGCTGATTGCGGAAAACTGCTGAGAAGTGACCTTTGATTTGGCAGAATTGGCCGATTTTGTTCTTGGCTGGGTAATTTCTAATTGCCAAGAGTCCAAATTGGCCACAGCGGAAACAGGGGCCCAGTGGGGGCTTTGAAGAAGTCTGACCCGCTTGTTGGTTGCGAACCCCATGCAGGCTCGCTGACGAGCCGGTGTGGCCATGTTGAGGCAACTGCATGGCCGGCGAAGCAGCCGAGCCGGCATTTTGAGCTGCTGCGACGCACTGGACCATGATGCCGGCATCGGAGAACTGTTCGTTCCCACTGAAAGCTGCGTTGGCCCTGTGAAGTGCCTCGAAGTCTCATCTGAGTTGTTTGGCTTTTTGTAGCGTGAGGGCTTCACCAATGACAGTAGTTGGGCTCGTACCTCCGCGTTGGCTACTCCAAATTCTATCGTCATAAGCGGGGCCAAACTTGCATGTAAGGGCTTTCTTCTCGAGGGCTGCGACGAAGTCGAGGTAGGTTTCCCCGGGTAGTTCTTGGCGGGTCGTGAATTAGTGCCGCTCAGCTAGGACATTCGTCATCTCGACGAAAAGCTCATCAAGAAATTGGAGTAGCATGTCGTACTCTGTTGACGTCATCGATGCTGCCGCGCCAGTCTCTGTTGTCAAGCCTGGTGCAGTTTGTGTAGCATTTGGAATGGCTCACGCTTCGAGCTGTGCCTGTGCGGCGAAGCATTTCCGCTGACCTTCCATGCCGAGTGCACTGAGGAGCGCTGCCGCTCGTCTGTCAGTCGTCCAGCCGCCTCCGCCGGCCGCATTGAGGTGTAACTGAAAAATTTGTTTCCATTTATGCCACGAAATAGAAGGCACGCCATCCACGTTGAAAAATGGAGGAAGGTTGACAAAGAGGGCAGCCATGGTGCAGGAGGGAGGCAGCAAGCTGAAGCGAGAGGGTGGCTTCGCGAGGAGGCTGGAGCAAGCACAAAGAAAAGTCGGTCAGGTGGCGCCAGTGTGGCGCAAAGTGGAGGTACCGACGTGCAGTAGAATGTGGCGTGAAGAGGCACTTACGTCGGGCACTTCATGGCATTGCCTAAGTTCAGGGTTCAAGACCTCGTCGCCATATGTTGTGTAAGGCTGGGGCACAGCGAAGCCAGTGGCAGGTCGGCGGAGAGGCCGAGCGATCGGCGAGTGACAACATGCACACGAACTTAAGCTTGGCTGATGAGAGAATGCTTTCCTGTGTTTATTGCGGCGGTTTTTTAAGGACTGGGAAGAAGGTGATTGGTTACTGATACACTGGTCACATGACCGAAGGTTTACACCTGGTTGGTAGTAGAGAACATACCTGGTAAGGGCCTAGCTCCATTTAGGGGCATTTACAGGAATTCTAACCCACTGGTGTGCTATCGCGACACCAGGCGTTGTGTGACACAATAATAAATATCACCAATCTAGCAAATTTTGTAACGTATACAGAAGATCTTAAGTACTTTTATGAGGAGTCAGTCAACAGCAATCCTAACACAGTCAGTATTTCTGTATTCTTATACTAAGAGGCTGAGACGTGAATGTACAAGTAAAAGCACAATTGTGTGTGGAGCTCTCCAAGCACGGATTCTCAGAGTTATTGGTTTTTGTTTTCTTCGTAACTAACTTAGACATCATGACACACAGCAAGGCCATTGATGTTACAGAACTTACCTATTGTTCGGGTCCATCAAAAAGTCGACCATGTCATTCAACTCGACTCGCCAAGTTTTCTTTTTAGGAATGGCCTGTAAACAAGAAAAACAGACTGTAGGATCATATATGCAGTGAGGGGTATGGCAGAGAGCATTTTGAAGCACACTTTCTAGCATAGGACTTAGTAGCTGTTTCCCTCAGTTCCATGACATGTTGCCAAAACAAAAAATTGACTAGAATTAATAAATGCTGGTATAAAATAAGAGCTGCACTATAGTTGTAACGACAAGGTACCTGCATTCTTCTCGAAGAGTAGTAAGCAGTAACACAAAAAACAACGCCACAATAGACGTAATAACTGCTTCCAAAAGCTGCCCAGTTGAGAGGATTACCCATGCAGCTTTCAGTTAGCAGAAGAGAAGTTATATTGATGCTAGGTAGGCTGGCAACTATAGTGGCCAGCCTCTCAGAGGAGGACAACCAAGTTGTTTAGTGTGCGCATGTTCTGAATTTCACCATTTTGCCTTGAGTAGAAATCCTACTTTGTATCTGCATCCCGGCGTATTCTAGCACCCATTGCTAGCTTGGTGACATTTTCTGGTGGAGCTGTGGGATACGTAGATGATGCAGTCTCCATAGAGTACCCCAGAATCAATCCTATTGAGTAGCTAAACTGACCTAGTGCACATGTGTTCTGGTCGTCATCTCCAGGGCCTCCAGCCACAGCACGGTTTTCCACCTGAATGACAGAGGGCCAAACACCCCCTATCATCACCACGCCAGCACGAATGCAGCTGGTTATCAACCAACCCAAGACGCCGCAGACATTTCACAGAGCTGCTCTTGAAGATGCTGAGAAGTGGTTGGAGCATTTGGACCGGGTCCCCATCATGAATGATTGGTCAAACTAGCGTAAGCTACACTACGTGTACTGTGCTCTCGAAAACTTTGCAAAAACGTGGTTTGAGACACAAGAGGCAACGTTTCCGTGTTAGATGAGTCTCACCCGCAGTTCACTTAAGAATTTTGTCAGAATGGACAAGAAGGAGAGGGCAGAGTGTGTAATAGAGGCAAGGGTACAAGGCCCAAATGAAAGGGTGTCAACCTACATAGAGACATGGATCGGTTTTCCAGGCATGTGGACCTCTCTAGGACTGAAGCCAAGACAGTTCGCCTCCGCATGCGAGGTGTCAAAGAAGATTTCAGCGAGCATAATTCGAAACCCACCTGCAACCCTTGCGCAGTTTCATGAAGAAGCAATGCAATGCTAGGGAGAAGGCCCCTCAACAGCGTGCAGGCAGTATAATCGCAATGTCATACACTCAAGTGAGGTCACTTCTGTCACTCTCGGCAATGACATAAGTGCCTTGTGAGAGCTTATCAGAGCTGTCATCTAGCTACAAGTGATGCAGGTAACTGCTCCACCTATAGGACAGCTCTCTGTTATGGAAATGGAGTGCGCAGAGCTACACCAGGCTATCCATGTTCCCCAACAGTACAAGGCGCCACAACAGCATCAGAATTAGCTACACGGGAGCAGTGCGACATCTTCCAATTGAGCGTTGTACTCATCAAATAGAAGTACCATAGGCAACAGTCCTCACAGGCGGCCGTTAGTCACCAAAGCAAGACATCTGGCGAACACTTGACCACAGGCCCTTCATTTGCACTGTGGGGAAGCCGAAAACATCTACCGCTACATACCGCGCTGTGGGTCTCCATATATTCTTGCGAAACACTCCTTATCCACGACCTGGCGAGCAACAGATAGCTTTATCTCCAATCGTCGCAACATTAACCATTGGTTGCACGAACCCAGCTTGTCATCACCTGTTTGCTATAGGTTACCAAGCCCAGCCTACTCATACAACGCTACAAGACGACGCTCGCTCAGTCCTGCAGGGCAGAAAAACTGAGTTCAGCGACCTCTGGAGGCAAGGCCGCTGACAATGATTGTACAGAAGATCTTCCATTACGACAACAGTGATGGAAGTGACATTTTGTTTTTTAGAGCAGATTCTGGAGCAGAAAAAATTGTGCTTTGGAGCAGCCTTATGTGTCTTTGGAGCAGAAAAAAGTGCTATAGCTTAGGGTTGCTGTTGGCGTTTTCGAAACAGATGCATGTTCCTATCGACTCCTGAAGTCTAAAACATCACTTAAGGATCTAATAAATATTTATATTTATTATTAAACATGCCGCATGCTAGTATGCAGGTAGTATACAAGCAGTATAGGTGTAAATCATGCGGGAGGGGGGTCAGGAGAGTCCGGGCTTTACTGGTGTTCAGGCTGAGGAGCACACCTCTTGCAACTGCCACACTTGAGATTTAGCTTTAGCACGTGACATAATTGAGTTAACAGTTAAGTATAGCACAATCAAAGGCTTTTTATTACCCGTGTGAAATGCTCCTCAGCTGCCTGAAAAAAGGTGAAAAAAAGAAACTGAATAGAACTATGCAACTGCTCGAGCTCAGACACCATGCTCGTTTTTTAAAACTTTATTTGAAAGCATAATTTAATTCTGATATAAATATACAACCCAAATTAAAAATATGAATTAGACACAAGAGTCTGATATGTGTCACCCCTTGAGATTTTTCTGGATTCACGCCACTGAGTTGGATACTAGGATGATAGTGTATACAGCTTGCTTTTGGTTTTGCTTAGGCTCACGGATAGTCCAATGGTTCAACTTCATTCTTTTTAGTTTGCCAACATCCTTTTGGAGCAGGTTTGGAGCAGTTACTAGCAAATATTGCACTTTGGAGCAGCATGGAGCGGCATTTCTTTTTTGGATCAGTTTGGATCAATTGGAGCAGCACTTCCACCACTGCAACAGTGACGACAGCAGGGAAACATACAGACGCAATCAAAAGTGATATGAAGGGTGGTGAAGCCAAACATTTTGAATGACAAAGTATTGGCACTAATTGACACTAAAACAGACACCTCCATTATGAGCCCATGCCTCTCCTGCAAGCTGACGAAGGTTTCTACCCAATGGACTGGGTCCCAGACTCGTACAGCAGGAGGCCATTTTTGAACTCTGGTGGGACGATGCATGGCACGAGTTAGCATTCAAGCGTTTACATATCTCAAAGATTTCATAATACTCCAAAGTTCCTCGAAAGACCTAATTCTCAGACGGGACTTTCTCCAGGATTACTGAGCAGTGATGAACTTGCAAGAGTTGCAGGTGACATTTTCCACTGCACATGCCACATCCTGACGACAGTTATTACCAATGAGTAGTGTGTTCACATTAGTAACTTGCAACATTTTGATAAATTTGATAACTATGAGGGCATTGCAGAGACAAATATCCTGCTTGCTCTTATTCAAAAGAAAGATCTACATAGCTCGAGGCTTTGTTCGGTTACAGAATAAACGCTCCCAAGTTCTGCTGACCAACTTCAGCAGGAAGTTTCAGCACATCCCTAGATGCCCCACTGCTGACTTTTTTCAGCGAGATCGTAGACTTTTCTGACATCAGCACATTGCAGATGACTTCACTGGATACAAAAGCTTGTGCTGACTTGGGCAACCGCATTCACGTTAATCCTGACTTGCAAGAACCACAAAAGATCCACAAAATCTGTGGCTCGGCAACCACAGAATTTTCGGGTAGCTTCTCCACAGCATAGAAAGGTCAAAACATTGCCGTTACAAAACTGTATTGTTACCGAGAAGTCGGCACAGCCTCTCTGCCAACGTCTATATCATGTGTCGCCAAGCGAAAGAGAGGTGATTAAACATAGGCTGGCCAGTATAGTAACCAAACTACCTCACATCAATATCACCACTAAATATATCTACTGAGTCGAAAGCCTTTTCACAGCACAAAGTATTTTGCTTCCAGAAAAAGCACAGTTAGACCACAATATATACCAAAATACAGCACTGTTGCAGTTAGACTTCAGCATACATAAGGAAATACAGAACTTCTTATAATTTTGTGCACATAAATTAACAGGTTCAATAGTCTCACTATAGCAAACATACTTATCCACACTCTAAACTAATCACACACTTTAGTTTACTCCTTAATTAAAAGAAGTTATTCTACTACAAGCATTAGGTGTCAAACTACTGCATAAGCGGTTTTGTTTCGGTTTGCGTACGCACACCTTACAAATTGTGTGACATGGTAGGATAAGTGTGCTAGTCTGCAAAAGAAGGCCTTTATGGATATCTCGAAAGCAGCCTTGAAAAAAAAATTAATGCTGCCTTGCAAGAAGCCTAGCTTCTTGCAAGTGATCACCCTAATAAAGAAACACGGCATTGCCACTTGTTTTGGGATACCACACTATGGAAAAAAGCTATCCATGACTTGCTCACGAAAATGACCGCAGGCGCACTGCTTGCTCATGCCACAAAATATTGCATAAGAGTAGCCTACTGATTCACCTGAGGCACCTCTTCATAAGGTCATGTAGGTGCTCCAAATAAAACTCGCTTGCAAGACTTCTGTTTAATAAATCAACACTGATGACTACCACACGCGATTTTCACTGCCAAAACCAAAATTTGCCGTCATGAAGGAAATTGCTATTGTTTCTTCGCTTCTGTTGTTCACCAACGAAGCAGCCGCCGTTCATCATTATTGCCAGTGCTGCTCACAAGCTGCTGCTTGCTCGAGCAGCACAAAGCCATCCGTTTCTTTTCACTGTTCCATGAAAAAGCATTCCTTTCGGACGTGCCGTCTCTCGTCCTGCACGAGAGCCTGGTAGCCGGCGGACCCTCAGGTTCAACACAGCTTCTACAAAGTGGTATGAGTGCATGGTCTCCAAAAGAGAGCCTTTTTAAGTCGTACGGTCAATCCGACAACAAAATTCACGAGATGCGCGAAAAAATACGTTGTCGTGGAATTTCCTTGTTGGTCCAATTCGCTACGAAAAGCATGGCAACTATTGAATTTTCCTGTTAGGTAAAAAGTTATCAATTCATCTGTGGTAGTATTGCTTTTTTTTTATCATTGTCCGCTTTGTCTTAAAACGATTTGAGAAATATAGAGGCATTCTAGTATTCCTCCTTTCTGGAGACCGGTATGGAGAAAACTGGGCCAATTTTTATCATCGTTGAATTGTATTGCTCTTCTGACCTGTCCCATAATTTTATTTTTATATCGCGTACGGATATTCTTAAGGTGGTCAACCGAAGCGCAGTCACGCTCTAGATAACTATGTTTGTGCCCTGGTTATGTCATTGAAGTAAGGTTTGTGAGAAGTAATTTTGCCGAAATACTGTAGAAGGCTCTAATTAGCCAGCCTACATTCACTCCCCAGGTCTTTTACAGTAAAAGTGCTCAAGTTGTCATCGTATCCTTTTTCGCCATCTGAATTTTGATTATGTTTTGGTAGCACAATGGCAATATTAATGTCATCTTCACTTGTACTCTCGACTGCATCCAAATCAAAGGGCCGCACATCTTGCATAACGACGCCTTTCTAATGAAAACTAAGTATTCGCCGAAGCAGGCTACTGACGAAAGAAAAAGTGCCAATTGTCACTGCTTTGTAATACAGTGATGCAGTGTTTGCATCAAACTCTGAACGCGTGTTTCGTACTTATTGAAGAAGCAAAACATTTCGGTGTTGATTCTTGCATTGCCCAACGTATCCATTGAATATTGTAAAATTCACAGTGAGAATGGGCAACCATAAGTGGCCAAGACGTGCCTGTAACCAGCCCACGATCGCCGCCTAACCGACGACGTACAGTCTAAAGATGGTAGAGACGCATTGAGATTGCTTGCATCCTCGTCCCTGTATTCTGCTTCTGCGACTGGACCGGAGGGTTCTTGAAACGGCATTACAATGAAAAGCAGATCTAGTCCCATTAAATAAAAAAAAGCAACCTTTTAATCAAGTGTAACCCGTGAGCATTTAACGTTTCACTTTTCTGACTTCGCTTGTTCATAAAGCTGTCTTTTTTTTTTTTTTTTTGCTAGTGCCCTCCATACTATACAGCCTGCAAACTTCAAAGTACTATAGGTCCCCAGCACATTCAGATCTCTTTCACAGGCATCGCAATTATATATTCTCAAATATGGGCGGCGCAAATTTCAAAGAGCTGGTACAGGTGAAAACTCCAAGACTCCATACCAAGGAGGTGCGTGAACGGGTACGTGACAGGGAGGAGGAGCTATGGCAACATGCAATGAGTGGAAAAGCTACTCTCGAAGCTTGTGCTTTATTCTAATTTCCCCACCCCTTTCTGCATGTTCTGTTTTCTTCCCTCTTGCTGGGCATGTCTGTTGGGTTTTTTTATTGTTTTTTTACTCTTTTTATTTTTAATTTTTATTTTTCGCATCTGTGTGCTAGGGTTTCTTTACATAGCGTAAAGAAACCCTAGCACTCAGATTTTTAACCCACCCGTTAAAAAGGGAACAGCAGCAAATCATCATCATCATCATCACGTGCTGGCCATGCTGCGGCTGAGTGGTGCTGGCCAGCGCGGGAGGCTACGCTACACAGCATTTGTCTTTAGAAAGTGTCGGCGCGAGACATTTTCGCGCGCAACTTCTTTTGCCAGGAGAATGCTGAAGCCAAAGTAGAAATGCTTTGCAAGCTGCGTGCGAAATTGATTGACTCGCTGCAAGGCAAACATGTGGAGACGTGCATCACTGATTACTCCAATTAATAACAGATGTCCTATAATTTGTGAACAAATGTAAGTCTTCTTAAACTTCCCCCTCATGTGTTAGCTCAATTCACATGTGCCACTGCATGGAGAGACCTCCATTTATTTAGCTTTCATTAATTCGAACTTCTTTCAATTCGAACAAATTTCCGGGCACCTTCGAGTTCGAAGTATCGAGATTTGACTGTATTAGTGAAAAAAGAGTTAATAGTTTACCGCAGTCGCGGTTGAGAAACATCACAATGGTGGGTCTGGTTTTGCTATATTGTGACAAAGAAAGTGTCACATAAATCAGAAATACTTCTTTTTCTGCCACAGCCTCCTGGCCCACCTGACATGGAAGCAGCAGTGAACAATGGGCAAGGAACCTGCTACATGACATGCCTTGTGAAGAAGCAGCCCAGGGTGATACACGTGTTATGAGGTACCAATACATATATGTACACAATACTGCTGTTTACTGGTTTACTGAGTTTATTTGTTTACTTTACAAATTTTTATGCATTCATTTCATGCATTGATATCTGGTGATGTTACTTGTTTTTCCAGACTGCCATGCGACGGCACGATGAAACACGTTGCAACATCTGAATGTCCACCACAACAAGTCACCTCGAACCTCACACATGCAATTCTGTATTTGTGAATGTTTTACTGCGCATATCTTAGAGGGGTGCTTTATATTGGCCACAAGCATTCGCTGTCCATGGTGGCATGGAACCTACACTTCAATAACATTGAAACTGTAACACTATTAGTTAGATTGTGTGGCACTGCTGAGCTCAACAACGCAGGTTTGATCCCAGCCACAGTGGCCATATTACGATGGGGGTGAAACACTAAGACGCTTGTGTGCTTAAGGGTTTGTTCGATTCGCTTGCACCACATGATCCATTTTACAAAGTGCTGCACCTCGCCATTCGTTTCAGTGGCGCAGCAATGGCATCTTCTGAATTGTGCCATTCATTTCAAGAAGCGCAGGAGAGGTACAGCACCAAAACTAGTTCATGATTGTCCTGTACCTCCTACTCTGACGGCACTGGTTTGGTGCAGCCACACCCACAGCTTAACAAACAACATAGTATTAGACGTAGCTACCGTACCCACCTCTACAAATGCGGCGTGTTTTGCTAAGATGTTTGCACCTCATAAAATTAAGCGAACAAAAATAAGGATTCCACCTTGTCGGCACCTTGTAGTTCACTTGTGATTCCGCACAACTGAACTCGTGCTGCACAAGTTCTGAACTTCTCGTGCACGGCTGTGAACCAGTTCAGATTGGTGCAGGTGAACTAAACTAACCCTTAAAGGATGGAAGCTTGAAAATATGAAAAATCTGTGAACATGAGGTGACAGAGAAAATATTTTGACAAGCAGTTTTGTCTCCTGCGAGGCTAAAATGTCATTTGTTTAAACCCCTGGAAGCCAGAATCAATCTAAATTTGCCCACTGCTGTACGACTCACGATCACTTCATAGTTGGCATGTGAATCATCAGAAATTATTATTGCATTACAAAATGAACACCCCCGCAGTGAGAGGCATTAACAAGCTTTCCGACACTTAGTTGTGCCTTGTGACAGTTTACGAACAACACCCAGAACTGTTTTGTCTTAATTAACCATGTTTAGCTAATACAAGTTTACAAAAAGATGCACCAAAGCTCATAAGGCTGCACTCAATTGTTCTAGCTTTGCACATATGTTCAATGGGTTCCTAAAATAATAAATCATAAAGGTGATGAGCACTTGCAGCACACCTTCCTCAAAGACGCGAATGCTGTCGTGAAGAGCAAGATTGTGTTCATTGAATGTGGTACCGTTTTTTTTTTTTTCACATAGCACAGAAACGTTCCAGATTTCTTTGAGCATATCTGCTTGTGTTTAAATTAAGTTGTCATAATTGTAGTGTCTACTACTAGGAAGTGAAATTTTGTGCACTACAGTCGTGAAAAAAATCTAGGAAATCGCACAGGTACTTGAAACATACATGATCTTGACTTATACACAGCTACACTGAGAGATAGTACACGTTTCAAATCCTAACCTCTAAAAGTAGCAGGGAGAAAACAAGTTCAGCTATCAAGCACTAGTATACTGAAAAAGTAAACACAATAACAAGTGTCTAATAAATGTGACCTTTATTGATTCAGTATTTGGGCAGATTCACATCATGTACCACCAATTGATTTCACGAGTGCTTGCTTGCAAGAGTGCTCAAGTTCTATCGATATGTCTATGCAAAAAAAAGATTGTGCTCAGAGATGAACAGGTAGTGTAGAACTGCACGCATCTGAGATTGCTTATTTAACAAATTTAGCAAAACTACATTGCTCTCTCTGCGCGAGCTATCTATCGGCAATGTGCAAGTTTCCTTCACGATTCCACAACATGCATTCACTTGCATTGATTTAATACAGCATGCATTCATTTTGATACAGCAGCCCAAAGGTACAGTTTCCGTTCTCTAATCTGGTAGGTGTTCTGTGGGGAGGAGGCGGAGCTGCACAGTAGTGGAGTGAATGTGCCTGCCACAATGACATTAGGGAGTTTTAGAAAAGCGCACTGCGAGTTCTTGCCGTGCGGTCGCTGCCACTGCACATGCGTCATAACGCGAGTTGGCGTTCGCGACCTGCCCACAGAAAATCTGAAATAGCGTGTGGCGATCAAGGCCTGTGAAGTGTTGTGTGTAGCTTCCGTGCCCGTGCATTTCGTGCACGGAGCCCACAGACGAAAAAATAATTCGCCAGGTTGTGCCACAGTCGACAAGCGGTTTAGATGACGATGACGATGATCGCCCGCAGCTGTCGGCAGCGGAGATCAGCAGCGCGGTGACGCTTTTGTTGGGCATTTAAGGTGATGATGTCACCTTGGTGCAAGTATGGACGAGCCGAATCGCTTCCAAGGGTAGTATGAGGCAAGGCAGAATCATGGACTTTTTTAAGCCTGCCTGATGCAATAATGTTCATATTTCTGACAAAAAGTAATTTTTTGAACTGTTCAATTTTTCGGACTTTTTTTTTTTTTCTGTCCTTGCCAGGTGCGAAAAATCGGACGGTGACTGTAAAAAACAGAAGAGATCCAACGATCAAGGAGGTGCCAGCTGTCAGTTATCGGGACTGCAGTGGATGAATGTAGGGGGTGTGTTCATTTCACGGGAGAAAAAAATTCGAATTTGGCAACTGAAGTTGGGGGTGCGTATTATGCGAGTGCATTCATTATGCCAATAAATACCGTATGTACTGTATATGGGCCTAGCCCTGTGCATGAAACAATGCTCAAGCGGCAAATATCAGCCATACCTCATGGCGCAGTTTCTCCAGGATCTTTATCAGTGTCACGATCAGTGCTTCAGCAAAGTCCACCATGTCGTCCCGGCTGCAACCAAACATCTTCACCACACTGCAGAGAAAACACGGGGAATGAGTATAAACTCTCAAACGCATGACTACACATTTAGTCACATGCCATCTGAACCAGTTAAGAAAACATTGAAAAAGAACTTTCAGACATGAGTCCAAAGCAAAAGCTTCATGTGCACGTTTGTATGGTAGTTGTCATCTCATCTAGATATTTTTTTTATGTAGTGAAGAAGGCCTCTACCAATGATCTCCACTTCACTCCACCCTACACAAGCACATTCCAGTTCATAACCACACAACTGAACTTCCTGCCTTGCCCAGTTGCACTTCCCTCCTTTGGAACACAGTCAACTGCTCCAATTGATCCCGATTGTCAACTGTCCAAATGCTGCCCAGCTCCTCATCTTAGAAAGTATCAGCTGTCTGTTCTATTCTGTAGTCATTTACTATTTGCAGTTGATAGGCAGATAAGGCATCATACACTGGCTACTTTAAATGCCAGTGACAAACCTGCGCAACTTTAATGTCAGTGAAGGGCGAGCAAACAGCATTCTATCAGCCGTATTGCAGAGTTGCCACTCCTGAATCAGAATGAATCCAGAATCATTCCACATTTTCGCGACCCCAAAAAGAAATGGGAATGGAATTGTTGCAAAGCTTGGAGGAATGAAATGGGAATGGAATCAAGCACATTTTCCTCGGAATAAAATGGCAATGAAATAAAGTCTTTTCGGAAATAGAGCCCATTTTTGTCGACGCGCTGATTTTCAAACTTCAAACATTAGTAAGACCCTTGAATTGAATAATAAAGTAGTAATTTGAAATATCGAAGCCAATTACAAGCATGGTAAAGCAACGCACCTAGTATATTTTGTCCTTATATAGATTGTGTTGCTCCAACATTTCCCTCTATTCCTCGCATAACCACAGCTCTATGCCATGGTACTCGTTGTGCGGAACAATGGCGGCGGCATGCCCACTTTGCCATTCTTTCCCTCTTGGTGGCTCATCAGCTGCCTGCTTGTTGTCCCATCCTTCACCTTGTTTTTGCTTCAGCCACTGTTTGCGACTTGGACAGATATTCAAATAAGCGCTTCTCCAAGTTGTGATGCGCATTGACGCTGGTGCGATGCTTGTGTTTACTGGAAGCTTTCCTATACCAGCTTGAGCACCATCTCAACCCATATTATCTGCCGCCTTCTTTTTTTGCAATACTGTCCCCCTTAACTACACACATGGGCGCCTTTGCCAGAAACTCTATCGCAAAGGCTTGTAGGTCAGCAGCACACATTCGTACACGATAAACTGTTGTAGAAGATGAACTGTACAGAGAGATATAGAATAGACTTTTGAAAGCAGTGGTTCGGGTAGCCAAAGCAGGCGATCACACATAACCAAGGCGCCGCCTCCCCGAATCCTTACAAGACAATGCGCTAAGTCGTTATTTTACCACCAACCCGTTTAATGCTTGAAGGAAATTGCAACATCACCACTTGTTCAAACATGCACTCTTGAAAAATAAAAAAGCGGTCTGCATATTCACTTACTGAATGTTAACCGTTAACTTGTCACAAAAAGCACTAACCTCCAAGTAAGTGAAGGTAGTGAAATGCAGATTAGTGAAACTTGCTAGTCTGCTGAAGAGTTCCTGAATAGTGCTGATTGGAATGATTAACAACATTACTGAATTTTTAGTTAACCCTCGTCTATAGTGCATATACATTGCAACATCAAGATACTTATATTACAGAAGTATATGTAGGAGAATAAGCGAAATGCCATTGTTGACAGATTAATTAGTGGTGACTAATTACTTCATGTAATTACCATGGCAAGTATGCATGACAGCAACATACATAAAGACATGAACAAATCACAGACAAGAACACGTGAATGCGCATATAGAATTAAGTTGGTATCTACTGTAGTAGCCATTTGAGACTATTTATGCTCCTATATATTTTGGAATAGCACCCTGTGTACTGGTTAGCAGCCATACAATTTAGAAAAATAACGGACCTTTCATACACATCATCGTCTGCCTTCTATTTGCAATAATGTATGCCATCACTTAGCCTGAAGTTTTTATTCCAAAGTAATCAACAAAATTAATGCAGGTTTAAATTTTCATAAAGAGTGCCACGATTACTACAAGATATACGGAGGTGTTTAAAAGAGATCTAGGAACGTATGTGGCTTGGTAGTTACCTAGTTAAAAGACCGAGAAAGCATTCCTGATTGAATGATCGATTTGTGGGGTTTAACGCCTCAAAACCACCATATGATTATGAGAGACGTCGTAGTGAGGGCTCCAGAAATTTCGACCAACTGGGGTTCTTTAACATGCACCCAAATCTGAGTACACGGGCCTACAACATTTCCGCCTCCATCGGAAATGCAACCGCCACAGCCGGGATTTGATCCCGCGACCTGCGGGTCAGCAGCCGAGTACTTTAGCCACCAGACCACCATGGCGGGGCGAGAAAGCATTCCTGGTTACTGACGGCAAAAGCTTGAACCTTCTAGCTGCTGGATATAGTAAAGAAATGCCGCGAAGATATTAAAATACCTTCAAAACAAGTAAATGCATGCTTTGCCAAATGTTTACAAACTTTTTTAAAGATTGTGCTTACCATGCAGAAACTATAGGTAGTGGGAGAACTGCCCCTAAGGGAACTAGTCGTCTGGTTGTAGTGCCCGATATAAGCCACCAAGCAACTATACCTCGACCGTGGTAATGTGTTTGGCGTACTTGTGCAGTTCTTAATGCATCTCATAACATCAGCTTTATGTTGTTACAATCTTTCTTAGCTCGGCAAAGCTATCAAAATATGCTTCTCCTACGTTGAGAAATCGTAGGAACGGTGTCGATCTGCCCGGCCATTCCAGGAGTCGGAACGGGCTAAGATTTTTTTTTCATTCCGAGCAATTGAAAAAAATGTAATCACTGCAAGTTGCGATTCCCTGGAATGGAATTGCAACGGAAAGGAGCTGCCCATTCCGCAAAACTGGCTGCCAGGGCCAGATGCAACATGGGACGTTTGGAAGGACTTCTGAATGATAATCTCTTGAATGACCAGTCATGTTCGAGCTGCCAAGTCTGTCGAATCAACTGTACGAAAACTTCTTTCGAGCAAAAGAAGCGTAAATAGAACTAATGTGCCCTCCCATTTGCATTGTGCTCGTGCTCACAATTAGAAAGAAAAATCCTACCAGAAAACTGCAAACGTGCACGAGTCAGCACCCTTTCGCAAACTACTGTTTAACAGAGCAATAGGCTCAAAGAGCAAAGATGGCACTTGTGGCAAGCATGCGAAAAAACACGTAGGTTGCCTCTGAAGTTAATGCAACAGCAAGGCAAGAGCTGCCACTGCTTGCCAGCAATATACGAACCCAGGGTGCTTTAAAAGAAGGTGCCCGAGTCCACATGGAAGCAAGGAAATGGCTTGGAAGACAGCAGCAAAGCTTTCAAAGGAATACGTGGGAGCAAAAGGAGGAGTTCTCCCTAGGCAAAGCAGCCTGCAGATAACTTGAGTGTGAATGAACACACTTCATGACAGAGGCATTAACAGCTTGAACACCTACACAGGGGACTTGAGGCACAGAATGCTGCTATTGACACATGCTGGATGCCTTGTGGCAGTTTCCACTACTTCACTCGAGCAATGTTTGTTGTGCCTACACAACAGCCTGCTTGTAGAGGTGAGCTTGAGTCATTCCAAGATGTTGACATCATACAGTGAGACTGACATCTCTGTTGTACCAACAATGTTGGTGCAACAATACAACATCTATTGCCAACAATGGCCAAGTATTTAGTAAGCCCGCAATACAGCCATTAAAAAAATTGTTGCAAGCAAGAACCTCCAGTTCGAAGGGCCATTGCACAGTACACAGTCACCAGCCAAAGTAGGTAGTACGTCTAAAGGCCCATTAATACATATGAACAGCTATACAATTAATGCTAGAATGCCTGCCAAACACAAGCAGCAAGGGCATATACACAAAAAATAAACACTAAATAAGCCAGGCATTGCAACACTATCAACAGACTGCGCTGCAATAGGTTTTCATTATTGCTGCAAAACACACACGATATGCTAGTTTGTTGCTGGTCATGGTACAAGAGGCCAGTAAGTGTTCTGAAACTAGGTTCCACCGAAAAAGAGGATTTAGGATTCCACAATCAACTATATTTCATGTATCCATTGTTATATTAAACCATCATTTGATAAAGTTACTGCACGTTGCATCCATACTTCGGGACTCTACAAGTTGAGCCCTGCAAAATAACGTGCGACTTTCTTGGGTCGTCAGCTATAAAACATGCAGTACAGTCGCTTTCAGTCGTTTCTCAGTGCCCATGCCGCTCAGCTCGGTGCCAGCCAAGTGCTGCTTTTTTCCACTAAGTGGAGCACCCTGGAAAGCAATCTTGCAAACATGCAAATGGCAGCATTGCACGACAGCATTGCACTGCTGCTTAAATGGAACAATGGCCCTCGATGTGACTGGTTTCACACTTGCATTCTGCAACCCTGTTGTTAAAGAAAACACATTTATCTGGTCTCTTCATGTTCTGTTTAATGAGCCTGGTGTATTTCAAATTTATGAGATGAAATGTTATATCAATCATTGCTTGTTGCATTGATGGCTTTGTGCATTTGAAAGCATTGTTTGGTTGCTCTTCAAAAGCTGACAGCAATTTAGGCTTCAATCTGCCTTCTTAATTTGTTTTTTTCAGTCATTCTACCACTGTGAAAATGCCTGGAAACTGAGCAACCTTACTTGTGGTGCCAGAAGTCTGCTTAGGTACACGCCAATCTATACTCTGTTTTCAGAAGTTCCCTTCAGCACTGTGGAGGCTACAGGGCCCCTCAACCAATAGGAAGGCAGATTAGTCCCTCCACATGTATTTATGTGCTCCATGTCATCTGCTCACCGAATTGTCTATACACACTCATTGCAGATAAGGCTGGTTTATCAACTTTAAAAATACAGTAAAACTACATTAAAACAGTTTCTTCTTCCTTATGCCTGCTTATACGTATTCCTAAAAACTGCGCATAGTGCATTCGCTTAGGGTAGTGCATTTACAACAAAAGTAACAAATTCGGCTTTTTTCTTCTGTTTATCTTACGTTGGCAAGGCACTGCTGAAGGCAGGTGGTACATATCCAAAAGGGCCTATGACTGACTGTCGTTAGTGCGTTAGACAGTTCAATCAAAACAAAGTGAAGAGAGAATTATGTTTTTTGCCCCCTCTCTTTCTGTTGCCTATTGAAACTGAACTGACAATGCAAATTACTTTGTGAATTACAATATCTGCGACAAAATGCCCTTGATGATCGTCCTAGTATTTGAAAAAAAAAAACTAAAAATTCAGTGCCTTTTTCTCGCACAAATGTTCATCATGCCCAGTGTTTTGGCTCAACTTTTTCCACCGCGAACAACTTTTCACACGAAGGTTAAAGCATCGTTTGCAAAGCACACACCAACTGAACGTAGATATTTGCATTTAAAACACCTTGCTGTCAATTCCCTGTTCAAACAGCACCCACTAGATTATTGGCTTGGGGCCCTGTAGGGCCTCAACGGGGTTGGGTCAAGCCAGGCCGGACCCAGAAGGCTAAATTATTTCTCAAGCTCGAATCGGGCCCAGGTCTCACATTAGTCACAGGGCTGGGTTAGGGCATGTAAACTTGGAAGAATTTCGGAACCCAGGTCGAGAATCATGGCCTGTGCAGTGCTCATAGACACCCGCATTAACTTTGTTTTTTCACAGCACGAGCAGTCGATCACCTGAGCTTGAAAAGAAAACGTAAACATAAGCTCTAGAACCCATTTTATCACTTATAATATAGTTTAGTTACACTTTCCTCACAAGTTCTCAGCAAGCCAGCATCACCCACATGCATGGCCCAAAACGTATCGCACCATCTGTCGCAGAAAATGTGCAAGTTGTTTACATCCTATGGAGGCCAGTCAATACACCTCTCTTCTATCATAAGCAAGCCTCTGAGTGGTCCTGTTATCCTAAAAGCTTTTTCCAAAATCATGAAAGAAGCTTAAGCTGTCGTGTGGAAGTACTTACAAATCCATGTGATCCGTCACGCGCACAACGGTTTCGAACGTCATAATCAAGTCCTCAGTGTTGCATACCGCTCTCTTGTAGAATGGGTACTTATGCTTGTGGCCGCACGGTATCTTGGTGCAAAGATTTCCACTGCAAAACGAAAAAGGACGGCTCCACATTTTCACTCACAAACACAACCTTTCAAATATATTTCAGTACCTGCAAGGTAATCTCGCTACACTGCAAAAAAGACGTGCACAGAGGAATGATTGTTAAGCTGCCTGTGTGCAGTCACATAAATGCTGCTACAACGAGATTTGTGCCCCTACCTAAACATTTTCATCAAAGAACACTTAGCAAGCTACAGTGAATTTACCAAGGCCCACTAACTGACCTACCTACCCTGCCCTACGCCCAGCAAGATGATGGATGAAAAAAGCACAGCTGTTGACCTCAGACAACTGCAGCCGCACACATACCCAAACCAGTCGTAATATCACACTATGACAGGGTGTCTACTAAGTGCGCATTTGGAAATTCCCCGAGATTTCTGGGTTTCCTCCCCCCCTGCCCCCCCAAGTATTTTTGCAAAACTCCCTTAGTGGCACATAACTTCCTGCCATGTCAATGCAAGAAGGCACCATGCCACTCAATGCTGTCACTGTCTTGTAAGCGTGTGTAATGTTTCATGCATCATTTTTATAAGCTTTCCAAAAGGTCAAATTACTTTATAGCAGATTTTTAATGTACCAAATGTGTAAAATCGAAAAAATTCTATATAAAAATGTCAGCAACAGTATTTTGGTGTCAGCACCATTTATAACTGCAAACAGTACCATAGGCGAAGCTCCAGGAGCTCAGCTTGGCGGCACCACCCCATGGGCGGTGTGTGAGCTATGACTTGGTCTTTGTGTTAATTCAGTCATTTAAGAGCACTCCCTATTTTAGTTGATCATGCTAAAATAATGGCATCATTATGTTGGCCACTCTGAAAAAACTAGTTCAGTGATTATTTTTGAAGCAAATAAACAAAAACTGGTTGAATGAAATTGTACTTCATGAAATAACATTCTATACACCTATGCGGTTATCAGTATATATGGTAGAAAAACGCTCTGACATACAACACTAGGCACACATAGTCGCAACTGCATTTCCCTTAACGACTCCAAGGATATAGAATGGTTATTTTTCTTCAGAACGAATTATATGGCTGGGCTTAACATGGCGTCTTTTAGCTAGTCTCATAAAGCCAACCTCCTCCGGCACTCATCTTTTTGAGCTGAAACTACACGATTTAAGAAACTTCGCTTTCCTTTTGAAGCAACGCATGATGTGTCTGGGGCATTCTGTCTATACTCCAAAATCCCCCTGTAGTGTTCTAGCAAGCAGCGCATAAAGAAAGAAGCGCCTCACAGGGTACCTTATGCATACGCCTAAGACGACTAGAAGGCGAGAGCCACTTCATTTTTATTGCGATAGCAATTACAAGGGCATTTTCGACCGGTATTTGCCATCGCCAAAGGCATAGGTAAATTTTTCGGGGGGGGGGGGGGAGTGCACCTTGATCTGAAGGGGGGGGGGGGCGTGCAAAAGGTAATATTGGGCTATATATACGCCTTGGCAAAAAAAGATTCGGGAGGGGGGTGCACATTCGCGATGCACCCCCCCACCGCCTGGCTATGCCACTGGCCGTCGCTATCATGCGTTGTGCAATATCCCAATCGATAACATCCCACGCCTCATGCGTTTTACAAACGGGCAGCGTGGAAGCGTGGGTGATGAACGCAGCTAAAGCAGAGATAAAAAAGCCAGTTTCGCCACAAGGGCGAAGCAATCAATGCGACAGCAACAACTTGGAATGTCACGCTGAGAACGGCAAGGAGATCGGAACGTGCAGCGCGCTGCTCACGCACAAACAAAGCCCGAAACAACATACACAGGACGATAGCGAACTAACAACGTTTACCACACGATATTTAACACGCTATTTAAACAAGAACGGCCCATTAAACGTAGTCAGCAGTACAGACGAGTGCGAACTAACGAATGTACCAGCTGTTATACTTCACTGTGTATGAAAAGCACATTCTTTTCGCAGATGGGGGATGTGCAGCCAGTGAAGCGACCTTTGTGTTGGGCCCGGCAACTAACCCAATCGCTCCAGTGAAAGCGGAAGCTCACAATTCTTCCCACCGAAGGATAAGCGCGCCCGCACAAGCATCTGGTAAAAGATAAGCGCGCTTCGGCGCATCGCGACAAGCTGGGCGCCGAGCGCGGGCATTTTTTTTTTAATTTTCATATATATAGATCTGTATACATATACGGCGAATGACGGCGGCGGCTAAAAACCAGTCAAGACTGCCCATACAATTGAATATAAGAGCCGACCTACCTCCTTTGCACGGAGTGCAGATGTGATTGCATCACCCCGTGTGCCAGCTAGGCCTGCCATCGATTATTACTAAAGCAGAGAGGAACGCGCCACCCATCTTCAAAAAACAAGAAGGAACTAGAAACGCAAGGGGAGGAGGGGGGGGGGGGGGCTTTGTTAATTAAGAACTTTGGGTGTGATCACTGGCACTCACGCTAATTCAGCAGGCATTAAAGACGTCTGCTATACCCTTCTATCGGGTACTCTCAATGCGAGCAGACGGTTGGGTATAGCATTCCTTGCAAAGAGCCTAGTGAAACTGACAGATAGCATCTTTGCCTGGCAAGGTTCTACGTTGCATAACTCAGATGAACGCTGGCTAAAGAGACAATAATTATTCCAATTGCCGAAGCGGTTTTTGCACTGTCAGTGATCTAAACCCGAAGCAGAGATTATAGTAGCACAGAAAGTTTATGAGCATGTCTCAGGGTACTGCAAAATCGATTTTTTTTTTCTCGACAAGCACATATGCGTGTTGGTGTTTTATTTCTTTGGACTTTGACGCTTGGATCCAGACGGAACTTCTGAGATGCCTGCAAGAAAACTGGGAGTAGCGTTTAAAGAACTGACTTTTGAAAAATATGCATACCTGCCAAGTTTGGAGAAACACAATACGGGCGATCTACTCAATGGGGGGAGGGGGCAGGGTTTGCGATAGCAATTATATGAACACTGTCAGCAGAATTTTGCGGTCGCCGCTGATCTGCACCGAGTCCAAACCGATAACATCGCTTACGCATCATCAGCCTATTTTGCGAGCGAGTAAAAGCTAGCGCTAGGGACCAACGCGGCTGAAGCTGAGATGAAACGACCAGGCGATCAATGTCGCGCGAAGGGCATATGCGATAACATCGCTCCACGTGCGAAGCTTGTCGTCGCTTGCTTACGAGTTATTTTGTCGGGCAAGGAACCAATGTACAGTCCTGCAGACAACTTCCCTTCCCTTCCCCCAGCTCGCGGAGAAAACAGGCCGTGTCAGGCAGTACTCTTTTCGGCAACCCTTGCGGTCGAGAAAAAAAAAAAAACAAGAATGTCGGAGGAAAAAGGTAAGGATATATGGGGGAGGAGCCCTAAATAAAGGGGTTGGGGAGAAAAGAGACAGTGAGGAGAAAACTGCCGAATTATTAGAAAATAAAAAAATAAAAAGTTCTGACTGAAAAGGAGAATTGGTTAAGCCCTGCCATTAGGTTCGAGGAACTCTTGTGGAAGCAGGGTTCAGCTTAGCTCCTTGAGGAAGAGGGGAAAAGGGTCGCATAAAGGAAAGGTACAGAAAGTGTGTGGTGAGGTGTGGGCATAAGCATTCCGGGTACAGGTGGGAGAGCGTGAAGGTCCGTCACAGCATCACCCCCCTCCCCCCTGCGTCACCTCCCTGCCCCTTTTTGTCCGCCAGAGTCTCTGTGCCACTCCTTATGATGTCAATGCAAAGGGCTGACTATGAGATCCCCCCCCTACCCCAAAGGTTAACAGCAGCACACTCACTGCTGGCTGCAATAGAACAGCCACAAAGAGTTTGCAAATGGGCTGGTCAGTCAGTCCACGGCTGGACTCGACGCCCCTTCCGCACGCTCCTTACGTCCTTCTCAATACCGGCGCCGCGCATATATTTTTTTCTGACGCGTAGAGGGCAGCACCACCTCACTGTAAGCTCCGCCGGCTCCCCGCGTCGCCGACTGTGACTTTTCTTGACTGCGTTCGATGACCTCGGGTAAACAATGCATCAGACACGCTCAGGCAGGCTAACTGCACTAGCGCAGCCATGGTATATTGTTGCGTGCCGCTGTGTAAGTCACAGCAAGGGAAGACACCAGGTGTGTCGTACCACCAATTTCCTAGCGATAAGGAAATGTGTTCGAAGTGGAGGAAAAATGTTTCACGTGAAAACCTCGTCATCAATGACAAGTCCGCATCGACTGTAGTGTGCAGCAAACACTTCACGGAAAATGACTATGTTCCCGGATATCGTATCCGGAAACTGCGTCCAGGAGCCGTGCCCACGGTCTTCGATCAGTATCCTTCGTATATGGTCCCGGCTACGAAGAGGCCGCGTAAAGAACCTGCAGCGCGTGGCCCCTTGGCCACCTCGGCTCCTCGACAGATGACGAAACGGAAAGCGGAGTCATCGCCGTCTACCTACGGGGAGTGGATACATCGTGAAGCTCATCAGTGAGTTTGACTGTGATGCTTGTGTTACGATGCTGACGACTACGAACAAAGCTGATCCTTTGTATGTTCTGTTGCACAGCCAGGACAAAAGTGCACTCCACTACCCAAACCGTATGTTTTTGACACTGTTGGACAACATTGTTACTTTCTTTGAAAAAGCTGCTAGCAAACTTCCGCATACAAAAGTGCATGAAGTTCTGCAACTTCTGGTTACCCCACACCTCGAACAATCACCCGTCCTCCTCTGCCCAGAGGGTGTAGACAGCAGCCACGCAAGGCGCACAGCTCGTTTAATTGCGGACAAATTCATCAGACTTCTCGTTAACTACACCAAGATGGTGAGCGATAGAAATGAAAAACCACTTGCGTATGTGCACAAGCCGTCTAGAAAATATTTCAGACTGTGATGAGTATGTCATGGAGGATCGCTTTATTTGTACCATGCATTTGTGTTTGTGTTAATTTGTATTGCTAGCGTGGGTTTGAAAGAAAAAGGTATTTGTGCTCACCTCACACAGAAATTGTTTTTTTTATTTAAGTTCTAGTCCACCTT